TGGCCTGTCTTCTGGCAATTCCAACAAGTAATTTCCCTAGACGAATTATGAGAATTATTCTGTAGGCCTCGAGAGATTTCACTGACTTGGTTTTCTTCATCAATAAAATTATAAGAAGTAGAAGGCTGTGAATTCTGCACTCCTACAAAAGCAAAGTCCGGTTCGACAAATTGTTGCTTCTTCCTAGACGGAGGTACGTAGCTTTCGGCACGATACTTCTTCACCTCTAGCTTAAGACATTCTCTCTCAAGCTCTTCAATTGTATTTACAACAGGAAGTTGCGTGGTATAAAATGGGGATAAATTCCTACACAAAATATCCAGTTGAGTATCTGGGGATAAACCATCATAGCGTCTAAACAATGCCTGCATACATGAAAGATAGTCAATGATAGTCTCGGAGGTATCCTGTGTTCTTTCTAAAATTTCTTTAAAGAGTCTAGCACGATAGTCAGGTGGCTCAAAATGACTGCGCAATAGGTGGCTTAAACCCTGCCAATCTTGAAACCTATTATTATTTGCCCTAAACCAATTTAAAGCTTTTCCGGTGAACAAATCGATGGCCGAATCAAATAATTGTTTTTCAGTTATATTACGAGCCAAGCGCAACTCATTCACTCTTTCTAGGAAATTGTGGACTGATAGTTTTTTAATGTCGCCGGTAAATTTTAAATTCCATTTCTCAAGGCTTAGATATTTCGAAGGGGAGACGCTATTTACAAAAGGAACAGATTGACTAGTAGAATTATGTACATGTGAGGAATGTAATGGTATATCATCATCAGGATCTCGAAAGTGATTGCTCAACTGAGGTTCTTGTCGAGACGTTGATTCTAAAGTATCGATTGCTGCTAAAACATCAATCAAAAGTTCGGTCTTCTCAGATTGCTGGTTGACGTTCAAAACTTGGTCAGGTATTCTATTTACACGGTTAAGCAGATGGACTAGTCTAGACTGAATGGACAGAAATTTGTTTTGGACGTTCTCTTCCGATGATACTGTACTAATGGACTCATTAACCTCGTCTAATAGCGTACGAATAATTATCTTTTCATCATCAAACTCTAGGTTATAGGGAGAAGATTTGAAAGCTCCGGCCTTTTCCATTTTTAATAAAGGTCGCAAGGTAGTTCTCAATTTATCGACAGTACTTTGATCATCAACAGACACACCACGAACCCTAAGCTCATGAAGTAACATTTCCTTTTTGAGATAACAAATATTCATTTTGAAATCCATAATGCCAAGAAATTTCAATAAAGTACAAATTTAATTATTAAATGTAAAATTTAAAAAAAATAATGATGTTAATTATAAAGTAAAAAAATACGAAGTATTTATTATATCAGTAATTATATAAAGTTCAGTCCAAAAAAAGTAAACCAAGTGTTTAAGGTGTAAAATGGCAAAATAATACTTGTCAACAAAAATAAAGCAAAGAAAAAGTAAGTAAATATCAAATTAAAAATATCGATATCGAAATCACAGGTAAGTTAGTAATGCAATCCGCCAGGTAAAAAAAAAGGTAAATAGAAAATAGAAAAAGATAAATAGAAAAGGCAAATCAACTATATACCAAAACGTATATCAATCAAAAAGGTAAGTAAAAATATCAAAGGTAAATCAAAAGGTAAATCAAAGATAAATCAATGAAAATAATCAGTATCAATAATAATCAGGAGTCAAGATAATATTAAAAGAAAAAAAATGAATAAATATTAACCAGCAAGATGAATATAAAATTATTTGGCCCTAAGTCTCTATAGATATATAATAATAATAGATATTAATAGAATTGCCCTTTTTAATGCAATTGCCCTATTTAAATCAATTGCCCACGTTGGGCGCCATAAAATTTGTCACGCGTTTGACCTTAGCTTGGCTCTTTTAAATTAAAAAGAAAATAGAAAAAAAAAATTAGAAAAAAAGTAAAAAAAAATACGAAGAAAAAAATATTATTAAGTTAGCGATTAAGAAAAATAAATATTTATGGAATTTGCAGGGGTCTAGTCGCGAACAAATTTATGCCCTAGCTCAGAAAATTCGGAGAGTAGGGGCGGGTTAAGAGCGCCACTGACTTTAGACGGAAAAAAAAGTCAGAAATCCCCCAAGGTGTATTTAGGGCCTTACAAGTTCCACAAATACATAAATAAAAAAAAAAAAGTAAATAAATAAACAAAAAAAGTCAAGATCTTAGAAATTATGTGAACATAGGGCCAAAGGAAATAAAAAAAAATAATGCAAACTGATTAGTTTCAGTACCCTCTATTGAAATATAAAAGGAAAATATAGGAAACAGTAAATAGAAAATACCAAATAGCAAATAGTAAATTAAATAAATCAATAAAAAAATTGTTGCACAGAAAAATATATCTCACAATACACAAGTAGCAAAATTACGTAAATACCTAGGTACCTTTCGTGATCACGTAAGATTTACAAAATAAAATATATATGTATATATCAGCGCAACTAAATTCAGCTAATATATCAAATTAATCAACAAATTAATAAATCAAATAAATAATACTAAACCAATTCACTAATAATAATAATTAATAATATAATTATTAAATAAATAAAATAATCAACTAATAATTATGAATTCATCAGTTCAAGAAATTTAGATATCGATAAAAAAAAATGAATAGATTTAAATTTTAAATAGAGACAAAAAGAAACTGTGTCAGCTGTATTAAATTTACAAAAAAAAATTAAAGGAAAAAAAAATTAAATATTATTTTATTAACAGAATTAAGTATGTGAAAATTTATTCTAATTAAATTATAATGTTAAAAAAAATTATCTACGTTCAGTATTCGTACGCACCAATGAAATTCAAATCGTAAGATAGGGAAAAAAATAAAAATTGAATTGTACGATACCAAATAGTTGAAAATCTTCTAAATCAAATCAATCTTGGGTAGACACCGTCGGCTGTCAACTGTCAACCGTCGACTGTCAACTCCTCCAGAAAAAGTAAAATGGATACAGCGAAAAAACTGCTCCAACAAAAAACTGGCTCAGAGAGAAGTCTTCAACACAGAAGAAAACTTCTTCGGCCCAGACAAAAAAACTTCTTCGGTCCAGACAAAAAAACTCTTCGGCTCCGACGAAAAAAACCCTGCTAACTCAGGGTTTTCTACGAATCCTCAGGTGATTAATATTATTTCTTCCCTGGATGGAATGGGGTGCTCAATAAAAAAAAAAGGCGGGCTGCTTGGTTGACCCACGTCAGCTTTTGAGGTGAAAATCCCGTCACCGGTAAACCGTAGCACCGTCCAAAAAAACAAAAGGTAAAGATAGGATGCTGCAGTAATTTTTGAGGCACACTCGAAAATCCCCACAAGGGTAAAAATCAAAAACTTGACAAAAATGACCGAGAGGCCTCTGTACCTCACACTAGCTGAACATAAAGTGACCAAACCAAGGTAGTTCCAAGAAAAACGAAAACCTTTTTTGCAACAAAGAAATAGCCAGATAAAAACACGAGCCCTTGATAAAATATGGATTGCCAACCATGAGCTGAATAAAGACATGAAGAAAAAAGTTATATATTAAAGGAAAATAAAGTTAATATCAATAATTTATATAATTAATAGAATAAATAAAGTTAACGGGATTAATGAAAGTTATATAGAAATTTGCTTATCAAAACATTCAAAAATTAATAAATAACAACAATCTAGAGATATTGCGCATGACTCACTTGCCGGATCGATACGATATTTTTAAGACAATTATGCTTAGAAAATTCTACCTAAAAAATTAAAATAGAGCAACATAAATTTAATGAGTTTAACTAAGTGACAATAGGCTCAATAATTACTGTTGATTAAATAAAATACAAAAATATATAATCAATTTATTAAAGTATATTTTGGGTTGCCTAATTGTTAATGTTAATAAAAATATAAATAAATATTTGACAGTTCAATTCAAAAATTTCTAACCTACGTATTTAGTATATAAACAGAATTAACGGCGGAAAGAATTATTTTATCTATTTCGGCTAAAATAAATATTAAATTGTATTAAATCAAACTAGTTTTGTGCTGCAAAAAAATGTTATTAAGTGTGAAATATGTTTAGTTAAAAATAAGGATGGAATAATTACTTTTGTTAACATGTAAGTACGATTTATTTATTCTTGGTTTACTGAATTGAACTGATCGATATTTCAGACTAATAATAATATCAATTAGCGTTAAATTATTAAAGAAAAGAAATAAAATAGTTTAGTGAAATTTTGGCACGTTACAGTTATTCAAAATTAAAATCAACTTCAAATCGTATTATGATAATTTGCACGTTTTATATTTTATCACAAAATAATGACTAAAAAACATAACATATGATCTATTATATGTAAAATTTCTGACGAGGGGTAGGGGACTCAAAAATCTCACAATCTTTTAGGATGTTTATTTCAAAATTTAATTTGATTTAAAATTGGGGCGACATATTTCGGGATTCATTTAATTCCCATCTTCAGGCCCAGAAAGACAAAAATCACACCAGGAAGCCATACCACTCGGAAAAAAAAATAAAACAATTGGATTGTTAAAATTCATTAAACAATTGTACTCATTGTAATTGCAAACCAATCCAATTTCTCAAAAGAAAAACCCTTCGTTGTTGTTCTAATCAATAAAGGCTTATACCATAATTCTGAAACACAGTCTTATATAATGTTTAAGAATTTTAACAATCCAATTGTTTTATTTTTTCCGAGTGGTATGGCTTCCTGGTGTGACTTTTGCCTTTCTGGACCTGAAGATGGGAATTAAATGAATCCCGAAATATGTCGCCTCAATTTTAAATCAAATTACATTTTGAAATAAACATCCTAAAAGATTGTGAGTTTTTTGAGTCCCCTACCTCTCGTCAGATGTTTTTCATTGATATGTACTCACACTGGGTTGGAGAACGTTTAGTGATCTATTATATTTTTGACTCATTATTTCGTGAACTAGTTGAGGGAGTAGAGATAATTCTTACCTATATTAGCATTTCCTGCACATTTCTCGTACATGGAATATGCTGGATCTCCACTCTTGTATCTTTCTCCGTTTGGATTGACTGTATTAGCATAATCAGTACCAGTAGTTTGAGCACTTTGGTCAAAGTAAATATGCACATCTCCTGAGTTCCCAGTACCATACAGCGTTATAGGTACTTTAGTAGATGGTATGTACAATATTTCGTTGTACGTACCAGGTTCAATACGAATGTATTTCCTCGATGTACCACCAGCCTATAAGGAAACAGTGTGTTTAGTGTTAGGTCTTCACAACAGGAATTGACCTCAAATCAAAGGAGACAATAGAGAAAGAGAGATATATCCTCTCTTATAGATACGGGACAACACCGGTATCAGGTCTAAGGAGAGACCAAGTTAAAGAGGTGGAGAAAATGGAGAGAGATACTCCAGCCTACACCTCACGGATACCTCAGCCGGAGGCAAGCTCCTCGACTGTGAAGAGCACGAAGGGCCAAACTCAAACCGTGGAAGGGTGTGTACCCTCGGAGGAAGAACATCCTTGTCAGAGGAGGATGGGATATGCCCTGTCCCTCTACAACAGAGGTATTATGGGTTATAGACTATGTGATGACTCAAGAGACACAATAGATCTTTAAGGTCGCAGTGATTAACCCCTTCTCACTCATTCTTCATTCTACATTCTACATTGTTTATTTAAGAACAAAGGAAGCGCATCAGACTGCGGAAATTACCGGGGAATTTCACTATTGGCTATCGGAGGAAAAATTCTTGCAAAAATTATGTCAAATCGCCTGCACCCACATATAGAAAAAATCCTTCCAGAATCGCAAACGGGTTTTCGCACCAACCGTGGCACCGTCGATTCCACATTTTCCTTCCGCCAACTACAGGAAAAAGTAAAAGAGCAGTAGTCTAAACTTTATGTTGCATTCATCGATCTAACAAAAGCCTTCGACTCTGTGAACAGAGATGCACTTTGGGCAATTATGAAAAAGTTCTGAGTACCCAACAAATTTCTTACAGTATGTAAAATGTATGCCTCCATAACAACAACCAGTCAAAAGTGTCAGATCATGGATCACTGAGCGATCCCTTCCTGACAAATACAGGACTTAGGCAGGAATGCGTCTTAGCGCCTCTCCTATTCAACATATTCATGGCAGCGCTGTCCATTATAGTGGACAGCAAACTGCAGGAAAGAGGATTGGGCATTAGATACAGATATGATGGCGGTTTGTTCAATATAAAAAGACTCAGGGCAAAAACACGTACAAAATTCATCACAGAACTTCAATACGCTGATGACTGCGCTCTAGATGCAAACACGTAACAACAATTACAAGAAATGTTGAACACATATACCTGGGCATACGAGGCTTTGGGTCTTAAGCTAAACATCGACAAAACCAAAATCATGTGCGCTCCCCCGCAAGATCATAACAATGCTATAAAAATCGGAGAAGAGCTACTGGAATATGTAGCGGAATTTAACTACCTCGGAGTTTAATTTCGGAAAAGGCCAATATAGACTCTGAAATTCAGCACAGGATTAGCAGCGCCTCAAGAGCATTCTGGAAATTAAAAGACAGGGTTTTCTACAATCATGACTTGAGTACAAAAACGAAACTTGCAGTGTACCGAGCAATTATAATCCCGGCCATGTTATATGGGAGCGAAACCTGGGTGCCGTACCGTCGGCACATGAACGCTTTAAACAAGTTGCAACAGAGACACCTTAGACAACTCTTAAGAATCCGGTGGTTCCATCATGTCTCAAACGTATAGGTCCTTGAAAAAGCTAACTGTGAGAGCATACCAAAATCTCTGCTTTACGGTGAGCTTGTAGACGGTAAGAGGAGGCCAAGTGGAGAGCTCAAAAGGTACAAGGACATTTTCCACGAAAACTTAAAGGGGTTCACAATAGAACTCAATGGAGAAGAATTGTAAACTCAGTTAACAGCGACAACCAAAAAGTAAAGAGGCAACAAAGCAATGAGATTTTTGAATGTCCGGAGTGCGGTAGGCAAATAACATCACGTATCGGGCTTTTCAGTCACAGAAAGGCTCATGAAATAAAACGCCTTGCGTGACCATCTTTTGATGCGTGTCGAATACTCGTCAGCGAGTAATGGCAGTATATAGTACATTGTTTATTCTAAAGTAGGTGCCACATGTTCATAATTAGATTGCATATTTGTAACGTGGAAATAATAAAATTTTCATATTATTCATTACTGAAGTATAAAAAAAATATATCAAATATTTTTATAAAATATAGATTATTATTTATTCACACACTTACATTAATGGCTTCGTTTACTGCTTGTTGTACAGATGAAAATTGCTGCCCACTACCAACAGTGTAATCAGCTTGCACCGTATTGATATTTTCTGGACTCCATCCACCTAAATAATTCGTTTCTGTATACTGAGCTGCTTCTGAGTCAGATAAAATTGGGCGACTTGCACTGCCTGGATATGTTTGATGGTCAGCCTGTATAGCAACCACCAAAAGTATTGAAATGGTGATAGTCTGGACAATCATATTAGAATTCTAGTCTATTAATCCGGATAAATATTTAACAACTTCTTTGATCAGAGTCACTGTTGTTTGATTAGGTACCTACTCATAAAGCATCTATTTATATAGTCCAGCGAAAAAATAATCACTAATTACTTAACACTTTATTGTTAGTTAAGTGGGTACTATTTTTTATATATTTATGTTTATTGGATACTCAAATATAAATAGAATCGATATCACGAAAAAGAACATTTATACAGGGTGAGTCTTAAATAAGTGCAAATATTTTCAGGGCTGGCTTTTCCGTTTTTGAAATCAACCGAGACCAAAATAATCGAGTTATTTTACTCTGAAAATTATAAAAAGATTTTCTTAAAAGATCATTTAATATAATACATTTACCGACTATTCAGTATTAAAACAAGTTTAATTTTTGACACTTTACATTACGAACAGAATAGTAAATAAAGTTTCTGATAAACATTTTTCAGTAAAACAGGACATTTTCACTTAAAGATAGCTGAGAAAGATAACTAGAAATTTACAGAGAAAACAGTGTGTAAAAAACTGTCAATTAGTTGTTTCATAATACATTTAATACATTTACCGACTATTCAGTATTAAAACAAGTTTAATTTTTGACACTTTACATTACGAACAGAATAGTAAATAAAGTTTCTGATAAACATTTTTCAGTAAAACAGGACATTTTCACTTAAAGATAGCTGAGAAAGATAACTAGAAATTTACAGGGAAAACAGTGTGTAAAAAACTGTCAATTAGTTGTTTCATAATACATTTAATACATTTACCGACTATTCAGTATTAAAACAAGTTTAATTTTGACACTTTACGAACAGAATTAGTAAATAAAGTTTTTCCAAAAAATCCTGTATGGGGTTTTTGCCATTGCAAGAAAAACTACAAAATAAAATAGTTATTTTATGTAAACACTTCTGCGTTAATCCCAAACGGAAACTACTGGTCAGAAGTTAGGTTTAAAGATATACAACATTGCCTGATGAAATATAACTTGTATATCTTTAAACCTAACTTCTGACAAGTAGTTTCCGTTTGGGATTAACGCAGAAATATTTACATAAAATAACTATTTTATTTTGTAGATTTTCTTGCAGTGACGAAAAACCCATATAGGATTTTTTGGAGAGATGAATCCGCCACATAGGTATAAACATTTTTTAAATAAAGTTTCTGATAAACATTTTTCAGTAAACCAGGACATTTTCACTTAAAGATAGCTGAGATAGATAACTAGAAATTTACGGAGAAAACAGTGTGTAAAAAACTTATACTAAAATACTTCAACTTTATACTAACTTTATAATAAAAAACTTGGGAATTTTGTTTAAGTGCAAACCTAAAGTATGTACGAGGATGTATTTCAGGAAAATATTTTTAACTTCTATAGGATGGCTCAAAAAAGAGTGAGTTGATCGGGATGATTTTTTTTAAATGGAACCCCCTGTATATTACTGTATTTTCGACTTCCTTTCAGATCACTTTACATAGTCAATTACATAATCTTTTTTTTACATAATACTAAGATATGATAAATATTATATTGATTAAGAGTGGGTCCCAGGTGGGACCATCCACTGCGGCTGCGAGGGCCTATTGTGGCTCAGTTTCTTCAAGCTCTTTAATAGAAAAAGGGCATTAAAGTTCACCTTCAAGACCCAGCCTTTTAAAAAACCAAACACCTCAAACCTGGTCCTCTCCCCAGCGGGGCAGGTACACATAACGTGCTTCATTGTTTCGTTATCTTCCATACAGCGTCGGCATTCGGCGTCTTCCACCACTCCCATCCTCTGTATAGTAGGTGTGATCTCAGTCGGCGCGGCAGTGGCCCATGTATACTGCAGTGAGCGTACGCGCTTCATTCCTACCAGCACAGCTACCAGCCTTTAGGAATTCTCCTGTTCTACTGTTTCCACCTTCCTTTAAATAATTATAACAAATACAATAACTGGCCTGAAATCAACACTATCTTAAATCATACAGGGTGTTCAAGATTTTACGCCAAATTTTCTAAAATTTAAAATAATTTTTATTAGTTTTTTAAACGGAATACCCTGTATATTATTTTTTTATTAGATGGAGAATTAAAAAATGAACATTTTTTGTATTTAAAGTATATCAAAATTTTTAATGGTTTTGCATATACTCGCAGTATTACTTAATATGGCTCTTTCAACGGTAAGATACAAGAACGGTAAACTAATAGGATTGCTCATCCTCATAAGACGTACGTTCGCTTCTTCCCGCGCTTCAGCTGACAGTTGTGACGTCATTGTAGCCCTTGTCAAAGCCTTAGTGTGTATTATTAGTTGTCTATGGTAAACTTATAAAAATAACAGCTGAGACATTTTGAGTTAATTATTTTGTCAATTTTAAATGTGAAAAAAGTGTCTTTAAAGTTTTTAGAGCTATAGAGTGTATAAATACGTTCATTTTGTGTTGTGGATTGTGACAAAGTGCATACTAAGTGCCCACGATTTTGTTTATTAATTATTTTAAAGCGAAATATGGAAGTACTCTAAAAAGAATGCTTGCAAAAGGTGATGCTGGGAATTGCTGTTCTTAAAAATGAATTATCCCAGTATTTAATACGATTTATACAGTTAATTTTCTATACTGCATACATATAAGGTGTTTAAATAAATAAACTAAATAATGAACGTTTTGCATTCCGTAACCAATAATCCACGTGTGTGTATTATTTGTTGCCGGATAAGGACTAATAACCATGACAAGGGCTACAATGACGTCACAAAGCGAGTAGTTTTCGCATGCATCTGGCGGACACTTTTGGCTGAATGAGCAGTCCTATTAGGTTAACTGTTCTTGGGTAAAATATGAGAGAAAAATCATCGGGTGGCTTTGATAAAAATTTACTGTGGAAAATGCTATATGAAATATAAAACCGCGAATATCTCCGAAACCGCTCAAAATTTTGAAATACTCTAAATACAAAAAATGATCATTTTTTAGTTATCCATCGACTGCAAAAATAATATACGGTGTGTTTTTTTGATTTTAGGACAGTTCTTGTATTTTTAATATTTTTTTAAGAAAGGCTGAAAATATATATTTTTAATATTTATTTATTAATATCTCTGAAACTATCGAAATAATTTACTCATATCTTAGAATTATGTAAAGTGATCTGAAAAGAGGTTAAAAATGCAATAATACAGAGGGTGTTTCATTTAAAAAAATCATCTCGATCCACTCACACTTTTTTGAGCCACCCTATAGAATTTAAAATATTGTTACGGATTCCGTGGGTCCACTATTTAAACTCACGATAAAATACTTAACGAATTTATTTGTCTCACTCTGTACACACAACTTATACTATTTACAACACAATTTATGCAACTACTATTACTCTAACGGTATTTCACTATTTAAAGCGCGGTATATTCAAACCTCAAATTTCAGACGATCTTCAGACTGGTCCAACTGTCAAAGCGCGGGCCTTATATACCATATACGTATTACTTTTTACAAATATACTCAGCCTAATCTCCAAAAAGTGAAGCCCAAACAGTGAAAGAACAATATGGAATTCTGCATAAGTCTATTTCACCCGGATATTCATTTAACTGAGCATGCCTCACCTGAAGAAGTTTTCATTGGTCGATGTTTTTAAAGGGAAGTGGTTGACTGACATTTCCCCTAACCTTCAATTTTATTTATATTTTTATTATTTATAACACATTATCATGGAGTTGGAAAAATATCAAAAAAATAGTTGAAAACAATAAACTAAACAAAATCACTCTTTACGCGCACAAATAAAAAGTAATCCAAACAGAACTAAAACAACAATCAATCGGAGTTTGGCGCAATCGCAGTTCAATCCATATCCGGGTGAAATAGACTTATGCAGTTTTAATATGGAGCTGGGTTATGTTGTCTTTTTCTTACGGCACAGAAATTGCACACGGGGTTAAATAGGGAACCCTGAGTATATTTGTAAAAAGTAATACGTATATGTTATATACCCCCTGGCGATGGTTTCTGGAATTTTCTAAAGAATTCTATAATTTTCTTTTACTTTCTGGTGAATTCGCCAGGTTCCTCAATGCACGTTGCGGTTATGTAGCAATAATGCAGTTATGCAACCAGTAATACACCTTGACAATTTTTCCCTGAAATACATCTTAGTACCGGGTGGCCAACTAAGAATGGACGCCGGCTATATCTCAGAAACTACTTATCGTACACAATTTTGGGTAAAAATATCGTTATATAAAAGTAAATCGACTCAGAGAAATCGCTGGAAATTATTTTCAAGTTCGAAAAATGTCCGCTAGAGGGCGTTTCTCTGATAGCCAATCAGAATACAGCTGTTTTCTCAAAAATATGCAGGTGAACAGGTATTTTAAATATTACTATTGTAATCATCGAGAAATTTGTATTTTTTTTGATATAGAGTATTTTGCTCTATCTCATAAAATAAAGTGGTGGGGGGAGTTTAAATTTGTTTTTATTAAAGTAAGGATAACTCTGATTTAGGTTACCCGATTTAAACAAACTAGGGCTCGTTTAAAAGAGATTTTCTTCCTTAATAATCTCCAGTATAATTCGTTTCCATAATTTTTTTCGTGGTAGCTAGAGGGCGCTGTTTGACATTATTACAGATATTGCGCTTTTGCATAAAAGAATTAAATAGAAGGCTATATTTCTCTTTGCACAGTTAAATAGAGCACAAAATTTCCAAAATAACAGCGCAAACCGCAACTTTCTATCTTGTCTCTAACCGAAGATATTAAGAGAACAAATCATGTTAGGTTCCTGCTTAGGATTATATAGTCTAAAAATTTTAGTAGTAGGCTAGGAAATAAAAAGAGGTAACTTGGTTACGTTAAAATATCAAAACATATATTTGAATTTCATTTTAATACCGTTTAATTGTTATTTATGCATGTTCGTTCTTGATTCGACCCCATACAGTAAAACCCAGGCATATTGAATCTGAAGACTTAGTTGGCCATGGAAATATGCCGCTCCAGCATCTCTATCTACTAAAGTAAGAGGTATCCAAGAAGCCCCACACATTCATAGCAAAACAAGCTGCACAAC